CGTGCAGCTGCCACCTGAGGAGTCGTAGGAGTAGCTGCAGTAGTAGGCACCAGATCCGCAGTGGGTGGGTGCACCGGCTCAGGACCCCGACTCAAACACAGGACTTCACGCTCCCTTTTAGACTGCCCGCTACCTCCTATGCAACGTTCTATACTCAATCTCAGGACTCAAGGTGGTATAGGTCGCCAGGATATTCCCTAGTGCATGCACTGAAGTCCCCACTCAACCCTTCTGATAATTCCATCTCTCACGTATTCAACACAAAAGTTTTGAACAAGACACTAAACAACCGCCATAGACGACAACAAATCCATTCACAACCCTCAACACTTACACGAGGCAAACACACCACACCACAAACCCCGAACACATTATCAACAACAAAGACCTAAAATATGAACCGTGTGTCTCCGGGCAATCGGCGGCTCATTTTGATGAGAGGGTGCGACCTTCCCAAAGTTGTGCATACAGACTGCCGATAGTACTAGGAGATGGACGCCCCGGTCGTCTACCCCGGACCATTTGGGTTAGTCTACGCTCCAACACGTTAGTTGGGGGGGTTTGTGACACGTTTGTGAAGGGGGATGCCCTAACGTAACACTTAAATCGAACACAAAGCGGAATCTCTTGATGGTATTCAATGTGCATAAACCCCTCAAGAACTAGCCACCGTACATATCCCAACACAATTGCCTGCTATTCCCGGCCACCATTACATCGCCATTCCACTGACCCAATCCAATCTCGATCTATCCCCCCATTCCATTAACCCGCGAAAAGCATTTATACATACACTATACACTCTTCCCAGGCCAAAACAGACCTCACCGACAATCACTTTTCTCCCGCCTTAACCATGCCCCCCATTCTCTCCTCCGCCCAAATGTAAATGGAAGTGTACTACCAATGGAATCCGCGATGAAGCACCCTCCTTTTCAGGTCACCCTTCCCGCACCATCCTCCCCTCATTCATAACCTCAGGTCGGGACACCCACTTCTCAATAGGTGCTGTTGTGACCTAGCACCTCCACGTAAACAGGGCTTAAAGAAAGGCACATGCATATTGCTTCGCGTTGTCGTTGGGCCTTCTTAGGCCGTATAACGCGTCGTCACAGGGTCCCCTGCATTGAAGATCAGCGTGTTCCTCAATGTGTGGCAGCTGGTCCCTTGCTCAATCATACCAATTTTTTTATAATTAACGTGCCCGGTTGCTGCAACCAAACTGACACCTTGTGCTACTTTTCATGCCATTCAAAACCACCTACTTTTAAATTGACTGGCTTCTTCTCGTTAATAACTCCCCACAAACAAATTCCTTTCTTCCCGCTTGTAGGTCACGTCACGTGCACACTCCCTACCCAATCAACTCCCGTCTCATTTCAACGTCTCAAGGACTTTCCTTGTTGCTGCCTGCCAAAAAGTACATCACTACTAAACTTATTCCTCCCATTATTAATCTGTTGCTTTCTCCGTTCGCACAAAAAATCATACAAGCTTTGATAAAAAAAATTGAACGTTGTGCAGCCCTCCCCAGCCGTGACCGCAGCCGCACACACTCCATGCATCTGCTAACCGCGTCTTCCCAAATATTTCTCTTTTTCCTAAACGTGCCAGCCTCTTACTCTATATAATAAAACAGAATTGCTCTCCCTTCGTGTTGTTCCAGGTGCTGCTGCTGTTCTGGCCGTGACCCAGTTTTCGGCTTGTGCACTATTCCTCCAAGAGGCCTCGTCGTGGCTTGTTCCTGCGACCCAAACCCATTCCGACCCATTTCATATGCGCCAACATTCGTAAACACAAGGGAAACAAGCAGAATAGAGTTGGTTGGCGCGGGACTTGGGCCGTGGGTTCCCCTTCCCGCACGGTAACGCCGCACCCCCACTCCCCTTCTCCAAGTTGACCCCGTTCACCGTTTTCTTGACTGAAAAACACTCTTGTGCCCCCACGCCTTGCCGGGGAACCCATTTGTATTCAACCTCCATTACGACAAATCTCTGCATCCATTTCTCTGAACGTTCCCGGCCCCCGCTCCAAACAAGTAACCGTTGCTCGAATAAGACGTGATCTCAGAGAACGATAAGAAGAATGTCTCATCTCCCTCACAACTCCAAAAACACACGAGCGTAAGAGCGGTGGCTCCAGTGGCGGCTTACCTTAAGGCCATTGGTGCTGTTTTCATAATGGTGGGGGCTACCCAAACACAAACCCTAGATGTTAAGTCCCTAATCTCCTTTGGGCCTAATCTACTTTACCAAAAATGACCCACACTGTAAGAGTTGATGATACAAAAATTCTAAACTACTGCAATTACCATTTAATTAATTCTAACATGTTGTGGGGAGAGTCTTGAATTTCTTCCGGACATTTTCTGATGTGCCCCCGCAATGTATTTCGAATTTTCTGCACTTTCAACAACGCCACTTCAATCAGCTACAGACAAACCCCAAATTAGCACAATTATGAATTTCTGCACCACATAAGCAAAATTCGGAAAAGGGGAACTACAGAATTAACACAATTCCCTGGTTTTATTTAAGTGCAATAAACTAAATTTATCTAATTCAAGAAATAAGGACTTCATCCAACGGGTCACACGAATGATGCTAAGACGGGAGGTTCGCCGAGACCCCGGTGGCCGAAGCATGGATGAACCCTGCTCGCGAATGAAACCCTATAAACCTCCCGATTTCCTACTCAAGGCCCTCCAAAGACAAACGAGCACTTTTCCCCTGCTCTAAATAACTGTTGAGAGGGCCTGTGAGACCTGCACCAACCCACCCTGCACCCAAAAAAAGAGGAAACAAGTGTAGTGACCTCAACATTTTGGCTAGCCTCGACCGCACCTGCACGAACCAACAAGGTTCAAATTACAACTTTTGAGCGCGTGTTGTCGGAGCTCCGATGAAGGCGGTGTTGATGGCATGGTAGTCTTTTCCGCCGGAACCCGCTTCCCCCCACCCTGTGATCGTCGGTCGCCCACTACGCAGTCTGAAGGCAACGGTAGACGCTTACGATGACTGGTCGCGGTAGAAGCTGACGTGGGCGGTAGGCTAGAGGGGGCGATATTATCAGTTCTAGTGACGGGGTGTGTAATGTAGCGGCAACAAAAAAATCTTCCCACAGACCTTGACTCTAGTTACTATGTTGAATACAATGAAACTATGTTATAAGCTAATCTCTCTTATTGTTGTGGACTGTACACATAGGATCTCCTTTCGGTATAATTATGTGGAAAAACTCTGGCTAAGCCACAAATACAAAGAAAAAAGACTAAAACAAACTAAACTAAGATAAAGCTAAATAATATAGCTAAACATAAAAGTATACCATTACATACTTTAGCCTTAACGAAAATTTGAAGTTCTAAGGTTGAAATTGGATCTTAGTTATAGAGACCTATATAGACTACAGAAGCATAAAAAGAAAGGAGGGGAGGACCATTGCAATATTTATAGATGCGATTTTATTTCGGACTAAAACTAAAAATCAGTAATATTTAACAACGAATATTATTAATTGATAACTTTTGCTTGGTCAATAATTATTAATGGATTATTGTGTAAATACGTTACAATTATCCGACAAGTATTTTCTGATAGGATTCTTGATAAATAAATTAATGAATTTGAGTTATCGAATACTTGTCAGGTATTGAAAAAATTGTGCTCATTTCTAATTTTTTTTGTAGTACTATAGTTTTAAATTAGTAATATAATTTTCGGATTAAGGCCTAACATTCTAATTATTCCATAATAAAAATTATTTAAAAATATAGAATATTTTGAAAAAGATCTAGCCTTTAAGTTGTATTTTTCTTAAAAGTTTTAGGCAGGGTTATATATATATAGACGTATAGATATAGTAGAGATAATATATATATATTATTGTGTTTCGGTGAATTGGTCTGAGGGTTTTGGTGGGCTTCCGTGATTTACTCTCTTTTGATTTTCAATCCTCTTGGACGATTTGTCTTTGGCAACGCTCAGTAGATAGGTGTCATAAAGCAGTTCAATCTGATGTGGTTCTAAGAATGGTTACCTGATCAGTCCCTTGCCATTAATTATGGCTTTACCCTTGTGCAGCCGTTGAATGTCCCTGCCGCATATACTTTACCTTAACATCATCTCTTCCGTGTTAGAAAATAAATACTGTTACCAATAAGGAGTCTTGGTAAATTTGCCGGACAATGAACTTTGTTTTGTGATGCCTTGACAGGAAGTTTAGGTGCAGAAGATCTTAGATTGTTTTAAACGCCATTTGTAGAAATTAACCTGTAGTAGGACATTCTTGTAAACTTGTAAACTTGCAGTTGAACTCCCAATACATCGCTTATGATTTACGCAGAATATCGATTAGCACAAGTCTTACTGAATAACAGATTATCATTCATATAATCGATTATCACCATTATGAAAAACCCCTAACGGACTGAATTCCTCGATGTCATTAAATACCGATTATTCATGGCAAGTAGTGGGAGCTTGACCTTTGGCACGCAGTTTGTACTTTGGCCTAGCTATTTTGTTTTGGCGCAATTAGACGCAACGGTTTTGAATGAGAAAGCTGAGAACATGGTGGGTCAGGGAACGTTCTTAGAAGCTTTTGTTCATTGTTTCCCTGCGTGGGTCTTGTGAAAGGAGAGGCTCGCGTATGTGTTGTCGTAGTCGGAGCGACTTTCTTCAAGGAGACGGCGCTCTGCCTTGAGTCTTGTAAAGGAGAAGTTCTGAATCGTTGGTGGCTTGCTGTGAAAATGAATCTGATTCTGATTCTGTTGTTTTTCACACTGAGAACAATATGGCACAACCTCCACCTCGTGAGAGGACTTTTAGGGAGATGGCTGCACCTGATTTCGATATCGAAAGCTTGTGCATCCAATATCCTGATGAGGACGTTCCATTTGTTCTCAAGACTGGACTGATCCATTTGTTGCCCAAGTTTCATGGTCTTGCAGGTGAGAGTCCTCATAAGCATTTGAAGGAATTCCACATTGTCTGTTCTAGTATGAAACCACATGATGTTCCTGAAGAGCACATCTTCTTGAAGGCATTCCCTCATTCATTGGAAAATGTTGCTAAGGATTGGTTGTATGGTTTGGCGCCTAGATCCGTCACTAGCTGGGATGATCTGAAGAGGCTGTTCTTGGAGAAATTTTTCCCAGCATCCCGGACCACAACTATCAGAAAAGACATAACTGGGATTAGGCAGCTTGGTGGAGAGAGCTTGTATGAGTATTGGGAGAGATTCAAGACACTTTGTGCTAGCTGTCCCCACCATCAAATACCTGAACAACTCCTTATCCAGTATTTCTATGAGGGTTTGAACAACATGGATCAGGGTATGATTGATGCTGCCAGTGGTGGAGCTCTTGGAGACACCACACCTGCTGAGGCCAGGCAATTGATTGAGAAGATGGCCTCCAACTCCCAGCAGTTTAGCACCAGGAATGATGCCATTGTGGTGAAGGGCGTACATGATGTTGTTGCCCAGTCTTTATCAGTTGTTGAAAGCAAGTTGGAAGGCAAGATTGACTCTCTTGCGAAGTTGGTGACACAATTGACTACCAACCAGAGATCTGCAGCTCCATCTGCATCTGTTGCACGACTATGTGCTATTTGTCCTTCCAGTGACCACTATACAGATGCATGTCCTTCTTTGTAGCACCCTGCTGCCTTTGATGCGCCTCAGGCTTATGCTACGAACATCTACAACAACAGGCAACCACAACAGCAAAATCATGACTTGTCTAGCAACAGGTACAATCCAGGGTGGAGGAATCACCCCAATCTTAGATGGAACAATGCGCCACAGCATCAGCAGCAGGCGCCACCTTTCTAGAATGCTGGAGCACCTAACAGATATGTGCCTCCACCTATGCAACAACACCAGAGGCAACAACAACAACAACAGCAAGAGGCAACAACAACAACAGCAGCAAGAGGCACCTGCCCAACCAGCTGCCCACCCTTCCACTTCATCTGAACCTTCATTGGAAGAGTTAGTGAGACAGATGACTATGCAAAACCTGCGGTTCGCGAACACATCAATACCATTTCTGGGGGTTTTGTGGGAGGAGGAACATCATCCTCGGCCTGCAAAAGGCACCTAAGAAGCCTGAGAACTGTCCACATGGTGGATAGAAAACCTCGATCTTTGCTGCCTATTATCTTCATAGATGAAGATTTCCAGTCTCCTGACCCTGATTAAGATGATCCCATGGTCATTACAGCCGAGATAACTCGATATAGTGTCGGCAAGGTACTGGTCGACCAAGACAGCTCGGTCAAATCTTATATTGGAAAACATTCCTTAAAATAGATTTGTCGGAAGATATAATAGCCCCATTCAACAAAATTTTTTTGAGATTCGCAGGAGAGAGAGTCGACACAAGAGGGATTTAGACCTGAGAACCTGACTCGGGACAGGCAAAGAGACAAAAGAACTCAAAATGAGGTTCTTATTGGTAGAGACAAATACCTCATACAACTTCTTGTTAGGACAACCAAGTTTGAATGCATTCAGAGCTGTTATATCTACCCCTCATCTAACCATGAAATTTGCTTCAAACATAGGACCATATGTACCGTACAGGCATATCAGCGAACGACGCTAGAATGCTATGTTGCTGGCTTGAAAATCACACCTTTCATTCCCTTTAGAAAGAATAGGGGAGCGGAAACTGCTGCGACTGATCTAAACCCTCGAACGAACATTGAGGACCACTTACAACCTCAAGGTGATATCAAAGCATTGATGCTCGGCCAAAATGAGTCACAAGTGAGATCTATAGGAGGAAAACTGACAAAAACCAACGAAGAAAAGTTAGAGAAAATCTTGAAGACCAATGCGGATTTATTCCCTCGGACGGCCGCAGACATGCGTGGGATTCATCCGAGCGTTATGACACACAAACTAGCCATGTTTAAAGAAGCACGCCCGGTAACCCAGAAGAAGCGGAGGTTCGGCGAAGAGAAGAGAAATGTTGTACAAGCAGAGGTTACTAAACTACTTGAAGCAAGATTCATTAGGGAAGTAACCTACACTACATGGTCAAAAAACCGAACTGTCAGTGGAGGAAGTGTGCTGACTTTACAAATTTAAACAAAGCATGCCCCAAATACTCCTACCCCCTCCCAAGTGTTGACAGATTGGTTGATGGTGCTTTAGGGCATACAATGTTAAGTTTTTTAGATGCATACTCGAGATATAATCAAATTCCCATGTATGCACCAGATCAAGAGAAAACAACTTTCATAATCGAACAGGCAAACTTTTGTTATGAGGTAATGTCGTTCGGTCTCAAAAACGCCAGAGCCACTTATCAACGGTTAATGGACAAAATATTCTGCCATCAGATCGGAAGGTGTATGGAGGTATATGTTGACGTCTTAATTTTAGAAGTCAATCCATGGAGCACCACTTCAAAGACTTGGAAGAGGTTTTCTTACAGGTAAGAAAATATGGTATGTGGTTAAATCTTTCCAAATGCAGTTTTAATGTACCTGCCAGGAAGTTTTTAGGCTTCATGTTAACTTCCCAGGGAATTCAGGCCAATCCGGATAAATGCCGAACGATCTTGGAAATGAGGAGTCGTACCAATTTAAAGGAAACTCAACGCTTAGTTGGCAGACTAACATCCCTATCACGTTTTATCCCAAGATTAACAGAACATATTTAACCAATTCTTAAAAATATGAAGAAAGGAATCACTCGGCAATGGGGCGACCAGTGTGAAAGGGCCTTTGACAAAGTCAAAGATATCCTAATCAACGCACCTATCATGGCATGACCGGCAGGAAGTTTTTAGGCTTCATGTTAACTTCCAAGGGAATTAAGGCCAATCCGGATAAATGACGAACGATCTTGGAAATGAGGAGTCGTACCAATTTAAAGGAAACTCAACGCTTAGTTGGCAGACTAACATCCCTATCACGTTTAATCCCAAGATTAGCAGAACATATTTAACTAATTCTTAAAAATATGAAGAAAGGAATCACTCGGCAATGGCGCGACCAGTGTGAAAGGGCCTTTGCCAAAGTCAAAGATATCCTAATAAATGCAACTATCATGGCACGACCGGTAGGAAGTTTTTAGGCTTCATGTTAACTCCCAGGGGAATTGAGGCCAATCCGGATAAATGTCGAACGATCTTGAAAATGAGGAGTCATACCAATTTAAAGGAAACTCAACGCTTAGTTGGCAGACTAACATCCCTGTCACGTTTTATCCCAAGATTAACAGAACATATTTAACCAATTCTTAAAAATATGAAGAAAGGAATCACATGACAATGGGGCGACCAGTGTGAAAGGGCCTTTGACAAAGTCAAAGATATCCTAATCAACGCACCTATCATGGCACGACCGGTACAGGAGTATGATTTACAGCTATACATAGCTGCATCAAAATAACACGATCAGCGCAACCCTCATTCAGGAAACTCCTGACTTCAAGTTGATTTACTTCGTTAGGAGAACATTGCAAGGATCGGAAGAACGATATTCTCAAATAGAGAAGGTAGCCTTAGCATTACTCATGGTCGCCTGACGTCTTCGACCATGCTTTCAAAGCCATCAGGTGGTAGTAAGGACATATCATCCTGTTGCCAAGATTCTTAGAAAACATGATTTGGCTGGGAGGATGGTATCTTGGTCCGTTGAGCTCTCATAGTTCGACCTCCGTTTTGAGCCATGTGGATCCATTACGGGGCAACACTTGGCAAATTTTGCAGTAAAGTTAACACCTGCGCCTGAAAACTCCGTCCAACTTTGGCATCTTAGTGTAGACGGTTCCTCAGATGAAGGAGGCAGAGGAGCATACATAGTATTAGAAGGACCGAACGGTGTTTCCATAGAGCAGGAACAAACCTTTAGATTTCAGACTACCAAAATCAAGCTGAATACGAAGCGCTAATCGCTAGTTTAACACTGGCCAAAGAATTAGGAGTCATTAGAATGCCGAATGGATTCTCAACTGGTCATCGGTCACTTGAAAGGAACTTTCCAGGTTAAAGACAATCAGTTGTTGCAATATTTCTATCAAGCCAACAATCTGTTTAAGGGTTTTACCAATAACGACATTATGTATGTCCTAAGGGAACAAAATTCCCGAGCGGATCTCCTGTCGAAGTTGGCTCATTCAAGGGGAAGAGGGCAGTTGTCCTCGGTTATCAGAGTAACTTGAAAAACCGGCGATTGAAGTCTTGGCCACTAACGCAGCAGTTCCCAAAGCCGATTGACGAAAAGATATCCGTGACCTAATGAAAAGACAGGAGTAGGGAGAGAAGGTTAGTATCACCGATTCTAAATGCATTGCCCGATTTTTCTTTGTAGGAGAAGACTTATACAGGAGAGGGTACACAACACCGTTGTTGAAGTGTTTGTCCGAGGAGGAAGTGGATTATGTCTTGAGTGAGCTTCATCATGGTGTGTGCGGCTTGCATTCTGGCAAGTGCACTCTTAGAGCCCGAGCGTTACGAGCTGGGTATTACTGGCCAACTATGGAGCGTGATTGTGACTCATTTGTCAAGAAATGTATATGCTGTCAGGAACATGGCAATGACGTACGAGTCTCGTCCGAAGAATTGCATGGTATTACTTCACCATGGTCATTCGCCCAGTGGGGAATGGACATAGTAGGACCTTTCCCGATTGGGCGATTTCAAAATAAATTCCTCCTGGTGGGTGTAGACTACTTCACCAAATGGATTAAGGCGAAACCACTAGCGATCATCACCGCTCAACGAGTGCAGAAATTCATATGGCAATTAATTTGTCGATTTAGGTTACCCCAGAAGATTATCACAGATAACAACCGACAATTTAATGATAAAAAACTCGAAGAATTTCTGCAAAACCTGGGAATTAAACACTCCACTAGTTCAGTAGAACATCCTAAGACTAATGGACAGGCAAAAGCTGCTTACAAAGTTGTGGTAGCCGAACTGAAAAGAAGATTGAGTGAAGCTAAAGGGTTGTGGGTGGAAGAGCTACCCGAGGTGCTATGGGGATACAAATGTAATTCACACGGTTCTATCGATGAAACCCTCTTTAACTTAACCTACGGAACGGACGCCATGCTTCCGGTTGAAGTGGGCGAACCCTCATTGAGATGAGATATCAAGGATATGGACATCAACAATGAGTAGCTACAGGTTAACCTCGATACTTTTCCAGAAAGGCGAGAGGTAGCCGCTATCTGGGCTGTTGCCCAAAAATGGGTAATTTCCAGAAAATACAATACCAAAGTTAAACCGAGAAGCTTCAAGGAAGGAGATCTCATGTGGTGCAAAAGAGGTGAAGCTAGAAGGAATCGAGCACATGGAAAGCAAGCAGCCAATTGGGAGGGACCATTTCACATCACTGAATACTTGATGAAGTAAGCTTATTGGCTCGAGCTACTCGATGGAAAAGTCGTCCCTAACACTTGGAATGCAACTCATCTCAAATTCTACTTTATTTGAACATTATAGTCATGTTTAAATTTAATTTCTTTTCATTTAAACTATTATTATTCTGTTGTGTTTTGCATTCTGGAATAAATAAAGCCAGACACTTTTTATTCAGTCACAGGTGGCGAACTCACTAGAAAGTTCTCCAAGAACTCCTAGGTCAAAGCCAAGAGGTAAAACCCTCTCACTAGGAAGTTCTCTAGGAACTCCC